TTGGCCGAAGTCGCTCCGCAGGTAAGGTCTATTCTCCTCCCTGTACTCCTCCCTCCGCTCTTCCCTCCTCTCCCCCAGTCCCGCATCTCCTCTTTTGTTTCTCCAGGAAGTTCCTTCTGTGGAAATTATCGGTGAATATGGAGCTGTTTAGTAGATCCAGTTTATGAGTTATAGAATATTTATTTTGGAAATGTAGATCCATTTTTTCGGTGAATATGGAGGTGATTTCACTATTTGGAATTGTTCTCGCTCTCTTTCTCCTTCGGTTATATTTCTGGATTATAGATCCAAGGGTGATCTCTTAACGTTACAGTGGGATTGGGAGATATTTTTTGGGGGGATATCTGCTAGTTGTTGGTTAGAGAGCTTGGTTTTAAGCTCATAATACAACTTCAACTCCTCTATTCTATTCTTATCTGAAGCAATCTTTTATTATGTTAGCAAATAGTTATTTCTTTAAAAAGTGAGGTTCATGATACTGTATTGATTTTGTATTGTATAAATCTAGCTTTGGAATTCTTTGTTGAAAACATCTATTTCGGTTTGGAACATATATGAAGCCTTTATGTTTTACATTCGATGCAGGAAACTGTTTTCGAATCGATGCATTTTTGTTGTTGAGTCAATGAGATGCTTTATATTGAGGGCAAGCATTGTTGAGTCAACGAGATGCTTTTTGTTATCGAGTCAATGGAGTTCTTTATATATTTATATGTATGAAAAATCATTAGAATTGTGTGGTAACATATATGAAGTCTCTCTGTGATAAATATCAATTGCCTCAAACTTCTGTAGTAAACTATGCTGCGATAACATATATGAAGTCTCTTTGTTGTATACATTTTCTGTGAGAAGTATCAATTGGATCATTACTATCTATTATATAGAGTGCTTATGTATGACATCATTTTCTATGGTTGCTATGGTATTGTTATGTATGACATCATTTTTCTATGGTTTTTGGATTTTGGGGTGAAGCATTTGAAACATTTCTATGGCTGCTATTTGATGTACAACATTCAAATTTACTCTAGAAATTGCTGGTATATATGTAAAAATTTCGAATTTACCTGCTGCAAGTAATTCTAATTATTGTTGGTGCATATGTTATAGTTTTCCCATATTGTTTCGAATTTACCTGATGCATCTACACTTTTCTGAAGTACATATGGGTTTCGAATTACCTGTTGCATCATTTGGGTGCTACGCATCTTTGTATATGTTCGATTCATTTGTGTGATTCAAACTACATACCGTTTTGCAAATATGTTTAAATATATGGATTAATGGACTAAATGCTACTATATGGATTTATGTCCTATTTAATTTTTTTCTTAATACTAAATTGTATTGATTTTTTTGAGATAACGGTGGAGCAGTTTGGATTGCCACCGAAATTTATTGTCGGCAACCACTGCCTCCATATTTCGGTAAGTATACTTTCTATATTTCATGAATTTTTTGACTAATTTGTTCTATTTTAATAACTGCAGGACGATGAGTTCCAGATATTCAAGGAAGTCTGAGAAATTGATGTGTCGGTGCGGGCTATCGTCCTTGCTACTCATGTCACGCCAGACACATAGCTTCGGGAGACAGTTTTACAGGTGCCCGCTGTGCGCACAATGACAGGAGTATTGCAGTTTCTTCAGGTGGGTCGATAGAGAGCTTGTTTCTATGATATCTCAGCTGGACACCGTTACTCAGAGTTTGTCGATCTCAAAATTCAAAACACCACATATGGTTTGAGTGTTTCATTTTCTATTGCATCTCAGTCGGATAGGTTCACTCAGGGTTCTGGAGTGTCAGAGTCGGGCAGCATGGGCCATGATATGCTGCTACATTTTAAAGTCAACATTATAATTTTTTTCCTTATCATTTTGACATTTTATTTTTTTCTTTTTTTTTGTCTCATTATACTTCATATTAGTATGTGAAGGTGCATTTTATTTTTGGCATGCGTAACTTTGCTTGTGATGTGATCCGATATATTTGAGTTATATAAATGTAACATCACTTTTTTTGTATTCTCTTCTCTTAACATTTGTCTCTAATTTTGTTGAGAAAATAACAAATTATGCTACACAGACTATTAATTCAACAAAAAAATTGCTAATAAGCTTTTTTACAAAATACACAAACCAAGCAGCAAAACCAAACCAAGCAGCTAAACAACTTATTAAGAATATGGGCAAAATGATCATTTTTCTAGAATAAGCTGTTTTTCAAACGCACAAACCAAACAACAGACAACTTATCCGGATCAGCTGCTCATCAGCAGATTACCAGGATAAGCTGCAGCTGCCCCAAACAGACCCGTTGTAACATGACAAAAAAAACGAGGAAGAGAATATATGCAAAGTTGATAGAGAATGTGATAAAATGAGAAGGCAAAGGGAGCAGGTAAGAGATGAGAGAGGGTGTCACATTCTTGGTACCTCGACAACACAAAGTATAGTGAAATGAATTGAATATATTTTATAATTTTAAAAGAAAGATAACATATAAATGATAACATAAATAAATTAATAAATGTAAATTTTATCTCATGAATCAAAATTAAAAGTGCAATATAGAACAACTATAGAGACAAAATAATAATAATAATTAAAGCAAATAATGAGAAAAATAACAACACAAAAAATTTAGAACTGAAAAGTTTGCTCTAGAGAAGACGATTCTGATAGCGGCTGAATAGAATTAGTTATGCAAAATAAAAGGATATGAGTTTGAAAAATAAATTCAGTAAATAACAATTGTCTATTAAAAACATAAATGATAAGAGAAATAATGCGTGCAATATGAACAATAAATAATAACGATTACTACGTTCATGTATAATATTATAAAATAATAAGAGAATAATATGTTTTTTTATCATAATAAAACATGCAATCCTTTCCAATAAAGTTTTTTATTATTCAGTTTTTCATTTATAAATTATATACGCTGAAATCAGAAATGTCATTACCAACACAAAAAAACTCAATAATTTTCTATAGAGTCGTCACTCTGTGGGTTCTTTGGTCCAACTAGCCAATATCCAAAAAGATTTTACTAATCTAAATATCATCACACAAAAGCATACCAAAATTTTCACATATATAATATGCACAAAATGTGATATTTAATGCAGGCATATGATACGACAGATGCAATTTCATACAAATGCAAGAAAATAAAATATCATAATTGCAAAATTAACTCAATAATGTACGAAGTTTGCAATAATAGAGTGAGTGAGTTACTTATTTCATCATGAGCAATAATCGAAGCCTAAAACAAAAAATAAGAAGTAAAAATGACATGATTAACAATCCTATAAAATAGCTGAATCTACAAATAATGAGGAGCAACACTCATAACTAGAAATTGTACATTTATTCTCGAGGTGACAAACACAATACTTTCATGAATTCGACGGTTCAATTATCAAACATACACTATTATTTATATTATTATTATATTTTTAAAAGTAAGAAGTTGTGAACACTAACCTAGCAAATATAATTAAAATAATATATTATTTTTGTTTTTGTTTTTATAGAAAAGAAAAAAAAATGATTTCTAAATAATTTATATATAT